GGGGTCTCGTTCTTGCTCAGACTGGTCTTGAACTCCTGAGCTCAAATAATCTGCCCGTCTCGGCCTCCCAGAGTGCTAGGATTACAGGCGTGAGCCACAGCCATCTTCCATATTTTAATCATCTTAAAGATATGCACTGTTAGCTTGGAGTAAGTTCTTCTGTATTATTTTTTCACTGAAACCATGTGAATAGATATAAATTGTGTATATGCTAAAAAGCTTAGATGTGTATATATCCAAGGGAGAAAAAAGCAAGTGGCTGAAATCTGATTGCTTAATTTTCTGCTCATTCATATAGATTCTACTCTCTGAAGGGTAGGCATACAGAAGAAACATTTTATTCCTCCTGTCTTTTCTTCTCTGGGTTATTTTGGCACCTTTACTCAGGCATGTTGGCTTCTTTCTCTTTAAAGTCATGACCACTAACTTTGTGTGGATCTTTAGTGCTGACTGGAAATCCTATTATATTTCCCTAGTCCATTTATTTCCCATTTTAAAGAAAATAATTATTATTTTCTTATTCTTCTTCAACTTCTAATGCTTTCTTCCCCTTTCTCACTCACAGCTGATGATGAATGATAGTTTCCTATTTCACTGAGAAATTTCTACAGGTTCCCATCTCCATGTCTACTAACCTAAGTGCTCATGTATCCCATCAAGTCTGCCTCCCCCCACCGACATGGCTAAACTGTTCACCTGTCTGTGACAGCTTCTCCACTCGGGCCTGGATCCGTCCCTTCTCACCAACTCATGGACATCACCCCAGCAATTGTTACATTTCAGTTGCTCCATTTTTCTCCTCCATGATCATTCTCATCAGCATACAACTTGCTACAATGTCTTATCTTTAGAGCAAACAAACAAAAATTAACTGCAGCAAAAACTTTTAATCTCACATTCCTCTGAGTACATTTTTTCTGCTCCTCTTTAATAGCAAAACTCCTTACACTTGCTTTCTCTGTTTTTTCTCCTAATCTCACTAAGGTGTTTTAGGGCTCTGGATGTACAAAGACAAACATGCTTTACCTCCTACCCTCAGGGGCATACTCAATGCATTTAAACTTGAGATGCTATACTAAAGGTTTTTACCTTATCAAGTCTCTTTAGAATTGAAGGTGCTGTTCTGTAATGTCTTGGCACCCTTACTTGGATAGGCCACAGGGACCGGTAAAAGCTGCTTCTCCCTGTTTAAAAATGTTTACTTTTTGGTCATCTCTAGGTTCTTAGTAACCAGTCTGGCTTGCTCTCAGTTGCTGACCCAGCTTGTCTTTTTCTGCTTTTGTGTTAAACATGATCCTTTGGACTTTATCTAGCTTCTAGCCTATTTTCTCTTAGATAGCAAATGCCAGTTCCCCACGATCTTTGAATTTGTGAGTCAGCCCTGGGCATTCCTTCCACTGGCTCATGAAATTCTGAACTCCACCAGGGAAGGGAATATCAGCCAGAAGAGCCTTTGCTTATTTCCTTTTGTCTTCTGTATCTCTGTGGACTTGGCTTCTTTCATCCTTCCATCCATTTGTACAATATTTATTGAACACCTTTTCAAGGCACTGATGATGAAGCAGTAGACAAAACAGTCACTAAGGTTCGCGTTAAATAAAAAAAGATCTGTAGAATTTGAGTGGTTCTTTAATGGTCCCACTCATCTAGCCCCTTATGTTGATCATTTTGTTTATTCTGTCAAAGGCATAGGAAGAAAATATAGGTAAATGATTGCTTGCCCTTACTAAAATATAAAAGTAGGCATGACAACACACTGATTGTGAAATTTAATATGGCAGTGTGTGGGCTTGGACTCTGAACTTCATGATATATCTGATTTGAAGCTCCTTGTCCTTAACTCAGCCCCATCTAGAAATCAGCTGTTTTTGCTTTTTTGTTCTTACCACTTTCCTCTCTCTGGCTTACCTTAGCTATTCCTCTATACTCCCTCGTTAGTTGCTTAACTGCTAATGGTTACCGGTAATTTGAGAAAAGTCATTACACTAACCCAGACTCCTCCTTCAGTACCTTTGACCACAGTGTGCCCCCTACAGCCTCCTAGGAAAAAGAGTCCCCCCCCCTTAATAATAGAAGGTCTTCCAGCCTTACCTGTTTGTACCTTGTGTGAACCCAAAAGGTTTGTAAGACATTGGATGTAGGTACTATGAGGCCTTTTCAATTTTCACTGATCAGTTTTGTTCATGCTTTATCATTAGCACATAGAACAAAGGTATGCACTAAATAAATATTTGTTGAATGAATGAATCTGGGATCAGTGAGTCAAGATGTGATATTAATGTGATAATTCTTTCTACATAATAGATACTTTTTAAAATAAATTTTGCTTCTATAAACTTTATTAACTTGACACATCCCTAAGTGAGTATTGCAAAGGTTGTAGTTTATTTCTATTAAAACCAGTTTGTTCAGAGATAATTGCTCTTATTATTCCTATTTTGCTCTTCTCTGTTTGGAAATATACAGAACTAAATGAACTCACACATATTATTACAGATTTCTGCTAATATTTGTGTCTTTGAAATGAGTCTCACTG